CCGCGGGGTGGGCTTGGAAGCCGTGAGCGGCGCCCAGGGCAGGTCGGGCCGCAGCCGCTGCGGACGGTAAAGGTGTCTCAGGGGTAACGTGTGTTCTTTCAGCCGGGGTAAGGCCCAGGACTCGGTCCCTAGCACTAAAAAGCAAAGCCAAACTTCCAGTCCAGTCATGGCGCCACAGCAGAAACAGCTGGCGGGTACCGGGCTCGGACTCATCCTCCCGGGTGAGGTGTTCGCATTCAGCCGCTCCTTCGCCCACAGGCTCGGTGCTGAGACCCCTGGGCTGCTTGATTCGGGTCGGCAGCCCCCGGCTCTTCTGGGAGGAGCAGGTGACACCCACCTCGGGGAACCGTGGGGGTCTGGACTATGGAGAGTGTTGCCTGCTGTGTTGTGCCTTAGGGTGGCCACCTGTCACATGTTGCTGTCGCACACTTGAGCTGTTCTACTACAAGCTGAGATGCACTTGATCTATAAAACGCACACTAGATTTTGAAAGCACACCGCAAAAATATTACAGAGTTGTTTTGTTTTGTTTTCCTTTGTACTGAGGATCAAACTCGGGATCTTATGCTTGTGAGGCAAGCGGCCAAACCACTGAGCTAAATCCCCAGCCCATCACAGCATTTTTTTTGTTGTTTTTTTGTTTTGTTTTTTGAGACAGGGTCTCACTATGTAGTTGAGACTGACTTAGAACTCACTATGTAGCGCAAGCTGGTCTCAAACTCACAGCGATCCTCCTGTCTCAGCCTCCCAAGTGCTAGGATTACAGGCGGGCGCCACCATGCCCAGCTTCACAGTATTTTTTTATTGATGATGTGTTAAGATACTTTGGATAGGGCCAGGGATTTAGCTAGGTGGTGGCACTGCCTGCCTCACGGGTACCAAAAAAGAAAGAAAGAAATTTTGGATATACTGGATTTCATAAAATATATCATTAAAATTAATTTTCCTGTGTCTTTAGTTTGTAACATAGGTACTAGAGTTTGTTAAATTGCACGTGTGGCTGGCGTTATATTTCCCAGTACTGTAAAATGCCATTATATTTCTGTACCATTATATTCCCTCTGGGGTTCTCGGTCATGAGGATTTTTAAAGCTGTAGTTGTTTGCTTGTATACACCTTGCTGTGATCAAAACTGGCGCAGGGTGGGCATGGTGGCACACACCTGTCATCCCAACACTTGGGAGGCTGAAGCAGGAGGATCACAGCAAGTTCAAGGCCAGTCTAGGCTACATAGTGAGTTCAAAACCAGCCTGGACTACACTACAAGACCCTGTCTTAAAAAGAAAAGAACCCAATTTGTTAATTTCCTGATCCAATTAATCTGGGTGAAATTGTGGTCTCCTCTCCCCTACAGCAACCCTTCCTGAAAAGAGACGGAGCTGATCCCCGTTCACCCAGTAATCAGTCACGTGATGAGGAAATCCTCACATGACTGCTGTAAAGCCATCAGTCTCTAGCAACTCATTGTACTCGGTGGCAGAATAACAGTGGCCTTCCTGCCCCCAAATCCCCCTGTGTCAGACTGGAATGAATTGAGGCTTTACTGTAGCTGAGTTTTCAGAAGCCGTGTGGAGGAGGACTTGGGGGGTGCCGGGCCCTGCCCCTGGGATACGTAGTGAATTTAGACTGCCTGGATTAACAAAATCCGTAAGTAAGCAACCCACGAACTATTGAAGTCTTAGCTCGTAGGAATTAAAAGGAGAGGAGATGGAATATTTCTTGACTCTAGAAATAACAGTTTTGTTGTTGTTTTTGGAGACAGGCTGGCCTTGAATTTGACGTGACCCTCCTGCTTCATACTCCTGAATGCTAGGATCACAGGCATGCACCATTGTGCCCAGCTTTGGTAGATGTTGAAGGACGCCTCCGATAGAAAGCTGTTTTGATTGTTGTATTGGCCAGTTTCACCCTAGCAATCACAGTTCTAACATTGTTCTAAGCATCTAACATTCATCAACTAATTTAACCTGGGGACAGTCTTGTTGTGTTCTTTTATCCTTCCTATCTTTTCTTGTTTGTTTTGTTTTTTGAAAGTGGGTCTGCCTGTGTAGCTCAAGCTGTGTAGCCCAGGCTGGGCTCAAACTCATAGCGATCCTCCTGCCTCTGCCTACTGAGTGCTGGGATGAAAAGCATATGCCACCACACCTGGTGAGATTTTTAATTAATCAGACTATCATCACATGGGGTCCAAGAAGGTCCCCCCAAGGAGGATTTGGGTACTGCATCTCACCCTCGGGTAGATTTGTCAGCTCTCATCATAGAAAAGCATTTCAGGACTTGGAGTGAGAGTCACAGGCAGGTTAGGGAGAGCTAAAAAGTCAGAGAAAGTGGGGAAGGCTCTCCAGCTTGAGAAGCTGAAAGGGGCACAGCTTGGCAAGGATCGGACTGGCCCATTCACAAAAGAAAGAGCCCATCTTTGCCGGACCTGGTGGTGCACTCCTATGGCACCAGCATCATGGGAGGCTGAGGCAGGAGAATTGCCGCCAGTTCCAGACCAGCCTGGACAACTTAGTGGCACAGTCCTGGTTCCCCAGGTGCTTTGAGGGGGCAAATGGGTCTCCATGAGGTGATGGTTTCTGCCTCAGTTCCATCCTGTGTGGAGCTTCCTTGGAGGTGGCCGAGTGTTCCTGAAGTCTCTTATACTGGTGTCCTGGTCTTGATGGGGGTGAAGAGTGGTTACATAAACAGAGGGCCGGTCAGCCGTGGGTTGCCGGCTTTTATAGACCGTGGCTCCCTAAATGATTAACTGGTGAACAGGTCTAAGTGCAGAGCTGAGCAGGGGTCTCACCTGAGCCTTAAGGTAAAAAAGGTTGTTTTGCTCTGCCTTTAGTTACATAATAGGCACTAAGTGAATAGGCACTCTTTTTGTTTTTTTAAAGCAAAAACCACTTTTAAGTCTTTGAGTGCCTTTTTTGAGGGGAGGGGGTTGAGACAGTCTCACTGTGTAGTCCAATCTGGCCTTGAACTCACAGTGATCCTCCTGCCTCAGCCTCCCAAGCGCTAGGATTACAGGTGTGCACCACTCTGCCCAGGGCCTGACAAATCCTGCTTTTAACGAGTGACAGGTAGGGGCCGGGCGTTTGTCCTCATTCCTTAAGAAGTCTGTTTATAGACTGCTAGTCATATCCTCCTGTAAGAGGAGCATCTTTTGCCTGAGCTCCTGGGCAAAAGTAAGAAACCACCACAAAGTTTTGGAAAGGTGGGACCCTCTCTTCTGGATGGAGCAGGCTTCAGAGGCTTCTCGGTGAGTTCTGCTCCTGACCTGCCTCATGCAGTGGCCGGGATGTGGGCAGCTCACCTGTATAAAGAACTTAAATCCTCGCTCGGTCCTGAGACCCGCCAGTGGAGGTCACACGTACCCTGCCCTGTTACTTCTCCGCGATTCGCACAGGGCTCAGCCTGCTGAAAGTGCTCAGACGCCCAGTGCTAAAAACCGAGCATTTCCTGGTCGCTGGCCGCTGTACTAAGTGCTTTAGCCGCAGCATCGCATTTATTTGCCATAAAATAAATCCAAGGGCCACTGTCTCCCCTTTGCAGAAGTGGAAAGGGATCTGCGGGAAGTTCCAAAGCTTCTTCGTGATTAGTAAACGCGCTCTCGGCCGCCTCGGGGTGAGCACTGAAGAGCCCGCCTTCCTTCGCAGGTGGGTCTTCGTGTGGGAAAAGGGCTACCAGGAGAAGGACTCCGTGGTCAGCTCCGTGACGACCAAGGCCAAAGGTGTGGCTGTGACCAACACTTCTGAGCTGGGGTTCCGGGTCTGGGATGTGGCTGATTATGTGGTCCCTGCTCAGGTGCGTCCCCCTCTATGACTTCGGTCCCCCACCCAGGCCTCTTTCCCGACTTTGCCGCTCGATTCCTGCTGGCCACAGAGCCAATTTCTCCCGCGCTGGGCCTGGGATGCAGCACAGCGGCCAGGTCTCTTGGCTTCCGGTCCCAGCTGGGGCCCTCAGGGAGCCGGCTGCTCAGCTCTCAGACGTCCCCACGGGATGCGAGTCCTCCCGGCGGCCACAAGGCCTGGAGGTCAGGGAAACCAAACGTCTCAAATCCTGGGCCGAGTTCAGGGGGACACATCCCCTTTCCTGTTTATCGTCTTCCACCCGCAAGATAAACCTTGGCAGACAGTGTAAAAACTCTGCGGTACTTAGAGTCCCAAACCGGCCTGGGGGAAACGGCACCTGGTTCCATCAGGGGCAAAAGCAAAGGCAGAAACCGTTAGATGCAGCGTCTGAGTTCCCACAAGGCCACAAGTTAACATTTTGGCTGTTTTCTTTTGTTGTTTTTGGTGTTTTTTTGTTTTTTGTTTTTTTTTTAAGCATAGGTGATCCAAGCTCAAGGCAGGTGCTTGGCACTGAGCTGCACCCCCAAAGCTGCAGGTTAAACAATGATTCGTGTGAGTGTGTGTGTGTGTGTGTGTGGGTGTGGGTGTGTGTGTGAGGTAAGGTCTCACTATGTAGCCCAGGCTGGCCTTGAACTCATGATGATCCTCCTGCCTCAGCCTCCTGCGTACTGGCGTTGTAGGCGTGCACCACCGCACCCAGAATGACAGGATTCTAACTGCACTTCAGTGGACAAGCCCCCAAACGCCCGTAGATAGCTGATGTGATTGGTGCCCACAACAGCCAGATTCAGAAAAGCACCAGCTCCTAGCTTGGAGTTGTGAGAGGAGAACAAGGACTCAGAAAAGCTGAGTGCCGTTTCCCTCCTCTAGAGAAGGACGTGACGGTGGGACAGAAGACAGCTAGTTGGGCAAAGCAGGGATGCAGGTGGCTGGCCCTGTGGTTCCGGTGAGCTCCGGCCTTTCTCCAAGTAAAGATCGAAAGGGCAGGGGATGCAGCTGAGGGGAGAGCATCCTACAGCTGCACAATTAACTGATTGATTAAAATGCCGCGCCTGCACCCAGCCAGTCCAACTAGGAACTCCTGGGGGCCCGCCTGTCACTCGTTCTGTGGGGGCACATGGTCACCTTCCAGGCTCACGCCCAGCCCAGTGCTTTGCAGCAACCCCAGTCACCCCCGAATCACCCGTGGAGGAGGACCCAGCAGGACTCTGTCCCCTCTGCAGGAGGAAAACTCCATCTTTGTCATGACCAACATGATCATCACTGTGAATCAGACCCAGGGCACCTGTCCCGAGGTAGGTGGTGCCCCAGGCCTCGTCTGTGCCCCTCCACTCTGGCCAGACCCTGTGGAAATCCTCCTCCTCTTCCTCCTCCTTCCAGATTCCCGATAAGACCACGGTGTGCCAAACCCACGCTGACTGCACCTTGGATTCCGCGGGCACCCACAGCAATGGTAGGAACCCTGGGGCCGGCAGGCAGGTGGCTCCGGGCCGGACTGGTGGCATCGCTGAACACGAGTCAAATGCATGATGTGGCCCTAGCTGCAGGCACAGGGGTAGATAGAGCATGCGCTGAGCCTGGGGGAGGTCTTGGGTTCGGCCCCCAGCATGAGGGGGCAAAATCCTTCCAGTTTCCCAATGCTCTGCCACCTTGGGTGAGCCTGGTATCAACAGACGGACCCTAGAAGTCTGGCCTGCTGATGTACACCTGTAATCTCAGCTGTCTGGGAGGCTGAGGCAGGCAGATGGCAAATTGGAGTCCCACCCAGCTCCATTGTAGTGACTTAGCAAGACCCTGTCCCAAAAGAAAACAAAGACAGGATGGAGCCCAGGGTAAAGGCCCAGGATTTGATCACCAGTACTAAAAAAAAGGAGGACCTAGGACCTTCTCTCCATTCAACTCTCGTGTGAACCCCAACCTTGCTCCATTCTGGGATGTGGTGTCCGTGGGTCCCCTGTCAGCCAAGCAGAGATGGGGCCGCCACTCAGGTGACCATCGCCGGTCCCAATTCCTGGCACCATGTAAATCCCCCAACTGGCCGTGAGGAAGGGGGCTCCGCCACAAGGGCAGGACCTGGACCCCCTCCCCCTGCAGGAGTCAGGACAGGGAGGTGTGTGCCATTCAACGCGTCTGTGCAAACCTGCGAGGTGGCGTCCTGGTGCCCGGTGGAAGACGACTTGCAGGTGCCCAGGTGAGTTGTCCCAGGATGGGCAGTGCCCACAGCTCCAGCTCTCAGTCATCCGGAGGTGACAGGAAGCTGAGCCCATCCGCGGGGGCCTTCTATGTACTTTTTCAGTTTGGGTTTTTTTGGAGACAGGATCTCGCTGTGCAGCTCAAGGCTGGCCTCAAACTCCTATTGACCCTCCTGCCTCAGCCTCCCAAGTGCTGGGATCACAGGTGTGCGCCATCTCGCCAGGCAGGAACTGAATCCTAATCCTCCAGAGCCAGGAAGGAGCTTCGAGAGCGGTGCTCCTCGACCCAAGGGCCACCAGCTGCATGTGGCTGCTGAGCACTTGAAATGTGACTGGCTCTGAAGGGACACACACTGTCAGAGTGAGATACACTATGGGCCCTGAAAACTTATGTGGAGAAAAATAATGTAGAATATCTGATTGGTGTGTTAGGGACACTTTGAAGTAATAAAGTAACATCACCATTTCTTTTTACTTTTTTTTGGTACCAGGATTGAACTCAGGTCCTTGCGCTTGTGAGGCAGGTGGTGGCACCACTGAGCTAAATCCCCGGCTCTTTTTACTTTTAAATATGGTACTAAGGAGGCCAGGCATGGTGGCTCATGCCTGTCATCCCAGCACTTGGAGGCTGAGGCAGAAGGATGAAGTACACGCAAGGCTATATAATGAGTTCAAAGCCAGCCTGGACCATAAAGCAAGACCCTGTCTCAAAAAACAACAAAACAAAATAAAAAGTGGCCACTAAGAAACTTTAAGTTATAATGTGATCCAGGCATGTTGGTGCCTGCCTATAATCTCAGCTATCTAGGAGGCTGAGGTAGGAGGATCTCAAATTCAAGCCCAGCCTGGGCAACTTAGTGACTTATCAAGACCCTCTCGAGAAATTAAAAAAAGTCTGGGGACATAACTTGGTGCCAAAGCCCTAGGTTTAGTCCCTGGTACCACCAAACACAAACAAAATAACCATCACGAAGAAACCAGACGTACAGGCCATGCTATTCCTATGAAAATACCCAGAACAAGTGAATTCTGGAGACGGAGTGGAGGGCTGGCTCCCGAGAGTCATGAGGGCACTGAGTGAGGAGCAGGAAACACTGAACACATCAGAAGTTTCCTCAGGGCTGATGAAAGCAACCAGAACTAGAAAGAGGTGGTGGCCGCGCAACACTGTCGATGTACTAAATGCCACTGATGGTTCTTTGTGTCTTTAAGGCAGGGTCTCCGGATCTTTCAAGATGGCCTCACTCAGAAACCCTCCTGCCTCAGCCTCCTAAGTGCTGGAATGGCAGGCAGTACATTTTTAAATGGTTAATTTTATGTCATGTGAATCTTACCTCAATTTTTAAAAAATGAGTTGATCTTAAAGAAAAATACTACATTTGGGGTACACAGATCAGGGGTGAAAGGTCTGATACAGGAAATGACCAAGGTGTGAAAAGCCTGTTAAGGACTGGGACTTCCTGTCACTTAGGAACCTGAGATCTGCCGTCAGCCTGGCCTTGGTAGCCAGTGACAGCCCCAGCTGTCCTCATGGTGTGGCTGTGTGCGTGACCTTGCTCCTATCCCAGGGCTGGTGACATCATTTGTAGATTCATGGGATTCCCCAACTAGGGGCAGCCTTGAGGGCTACAGGGACAGACATGCACCTCAGGCTTCTTGTATGGAAAAAGCCATCGAATCCCAGGGCCACCTCTGCCTCCCTCCACCCCTCTGGGGTCACTGCTGGCTGCCTGGGCCCCCTCTCCAGAAGAAGCCCAGTGTAGATGCTTCTCTGACCTGGGCTTGTGCCAGAGATTAGAAGGCGCCAGAGATGCTTTTCTTCTCTTGACAAAGTGACATTGTAAATCTTGTATGTTTGCATATTCTAGAAATATTACATAACAGCCATGCATGATGGTGCACACCTGTAATTCGGCATTTGGGAGACTGAGGCAGGAGGATCACCATGGCTGAGACCAGCCTGGGCTGCATAATAAGTACAAGGCCAGCCTGAACTACAGGGAGACCCTGGCTCAAAAAACAAAAAGAATACAAAAGAAAAAATGACACGGCTATATGAATATCTACGTGTTTATACTTTTTGTAACTACATTACCGTTTTTTCAGACCTGCTTTTTTAAAGGCTGCAGAAAACTTCACGCTTTTAGTTAAGAACAACATCTGGTATCCCAAGTTCAACTTCACCAAGTAAGTGGGCGCCGGGCCGGCTGGG